AAGTTTAACAGCAGATGGCAGCAGAGGATGAATTTTCCAAGTGTTCTGCCTCATCAGGGTGGCTTGGTTGTCTGTCTCTAAGTGTAGCCCTGTGATAGGCTGGTGACCTGTCCCCTTCATCTTGAGTCAGCTGGGACAGACTCCAGGCGACCCTAGTGAGGATTAAGCGGTGTGTTGATGATGGATGGATGGATGTTGCCCTTGGAAGGGGTTGGGGTTACCAGTGGGCATTCTCACTGCTGCATACAACTCAATCCGACTCACTGCTCCCTGAAGAAATGACGACTGAACTGATGTTTTTTGAGATTTATGTCTTTAACACTATCAAAGCAACAGACCCAGTAGGTTTTAGTCATCACATGAGATGTGTTTAAGAAGGAAAAACACAGATTAGCACCATCCTTTAAAACTTACTATAATAAAAATGATGCATCCACAAGCTACAACCACCTTCTTTTCATTTTGCCTGTTAAAGCAGGCAGACAGGCAGCGTGGGGAACCACATCCTCACTGGGAGTTGAACCGGCCACTCACAGCTGATGACCCCGTGTTGCCTCTGACCATCTGTTGGGTCGCCTATGTTGCACTTTAACCCAAGCAGGTAAAAGGAGCAGAGGCCTGGGAAGCTTTTAGGGACATTTTACGGATCCAGAACATCCAGACCTTTCAGGACCAGGAGGGCACATATGTGATATTCTGAAGATAGATGACATGAAACAGAAGACACCAGACTGACACATTGAAAAAACGTTTTATTGAGGCAGTACAGACCTCTTGTGTTACCTCTTTGGCAGATGGTCAGTTAAAGCATAGAGTACCTCCTGTTACAGACCTGACATGATGCACATAGAAGCAGCCTGCAGCGCCGCCACAACACTTCAGAAACGTCTCGCTAATTAGTGCGCTGTTGTTGCAACAATGCCAAAAATATTGCAGGACGATGATGGTGACATCATCATTTGCCCAATATTAGATGTTTTTCAATGCAAACTTGTAGTTTTTGATTAAAAGTCCAGCTTAGACTTTTCTCGGCTGCTGTGAAACTTTAGTTTAAGTCAGTTTTACTGGTTATAAAATACAACCAGCTGCTTCACAAGTAAGCAGCTGTAGAGTCCCTGAACTGCCATTTATCACGCGTTACTTACTTGCTTCCTTTTGAGATCACTACTGTTATCTCTAAGTACTAAAATACAACTCAGATTGTTAAGAGACTAAAAAAAAACAACCTTAAAAATGAGCAAACAAAGATTTTTCTTGCGTTACAGAGAACACTAACCAGTGGGCAGACCGGACATGATGGACTACTTTAGGGCTCCATATATTTAATCCTTATTTTTGGTTGCCGTTGGAGCCCAACAGAGACTTTGATGCAGATGTGATGTGAAATCGAGTCTCTGTTCGCTGATCACTGACGGTAAACAGCGTCTCCAACATAATTTGTGCACCAGGCAGAACGGAGTTTATTTTTACATCTTGGTCGATATTCTGACCACATTTAAAGAACTCTAACATGCTTTTTTTTAAGGCTTTAGAAACGTTTGTGTCTTTGCTTTCGTTTTTGATGGAAATGCAACCAGAGAAGAAGAAGACGGGCTTTGGACACGACCTGCACACGCCTTCACTGCATTCATCATCATCATGTAGATCTCAGGAAAACATCAGCACCATTTTTAAAAAATCTGACAATATCAGGTAAGTATTTACAAGTTTATATAAAAAATACACTGCAAGTTTTAGAACAAACAATAGAATACATCTTGTAAGTCTTAACCGAAGCCTCACGCTGCCGGCAGATCCGATTCAGAGATTCAGAGGCATCAGTAATTATAAAAAAAACATTTAATTTGATCATGTAGGAATGCTAAAGCTACAGAATAGATTTATACTGATGACGTGTTAGTTTACCAACGAACGACTTAATTTATAGCAGATCACCTACAGGAGTAATTTAGTGAGTTTTTCGACTGCTTTCTCACTTTTAACTATTATTCACATCATCACAAATGAAACAGGAAGAAAAGGCCTCTGATGGTTTCATGTGTAATCACAGCTATTAATGGTTTATCATAGTTTATATCATATAAAACTAAGTTAATCAGTTAAACCTGTCAGTGAAGCAGACAGCTCGGTGAAATTCAAGGACTCAAAACTGTCAACAAGACACGACGTGGAGCTCTTATCGAGTCAGGAACACTAGTTGAAACTCTTCATCTTAACCTGAACAGACTTTACTGGTAAAGCGAAGTTAAAACAACTAAAAGTTGCTTGTAAGACATTTTTCTAAATGTGTCAAACATTCTCAAGATCCTTGGAAACTTCATTTCAGAGACTGTTAGAGCGACACGTGTGATTGTTTCTCGCACAAATCTTTCAGACCACATCTGTAAGAAAGCAATGAGGAGATTAAAAAAAAGACTAGAAAAAAAAGAAGCTATAAACACAAGCTGAAGTTCATCATTCAGTACCTTTGGTCAAATATTTCTGCTGGCTGTAAAAAGTCTGTATATGTGTGATTTGTCTTTTTTTTCTGAAATCATTTTGGACTTACAAAGAGGGATTACAAGTAAATAAAAAACCTGATCAGCAAGGAAGCGACTTCTGCCACCTCAAGCAAGACATCGTATGTACAGTGAGGTTTAAACACACAAGACTCGACTCTAACATGATTGTAGAAATGTTGGGTTCAAGTAAGAAAAGTAGAAAACACAAACGAGTTAGTTAGATGTGTTTTGTATTTGGTATCTTCCAGCAGCAGCAGCAGCGCCGTCGTCGTCTCACTGGTTCCTCTCCACACACTGGCCTTCAGCGGCGTCCGGGCAGCGACAGGTGAAGCCTCCGAGCCGCGGCAGACACAGGTGGGAGCAGCCGGCGTTGTTGGAGCAGTAGTTATAGGCTGAACAGAGAGGGAGCGGACAATGCCGTTACGTTAAACCTCATACATCAAATCATCCTGTGGAAACGCTGCTCAGCTCAGTCGCTGTTCCCCACATCTACAGGAACACGTGACAATGTGTGTTGGATCTCCAACTCCGGTCCTGGTGAGCTACTGTCCTGCAGGTTTTAGACGTTTCCGTACTACAACACACCTGACTCACATTAATGGATCTCCAACAGCTTGTTGTCAAGTGTCTACATCACATGACTTTGTTAACAAACAGGCTGGCTGATGGGAAAAGAACAGCAGCGCTGCAGCTTCAGGAAGCGGAGTTCATCATGAGCAGCTGAAACTCGTTCACCCACTCATGCTCCGGACAAGCCTGCAGGTGAAGCCGTTTCTCATCCCACCCTGCTGTATAGCTCAGGGCCCAGAGCCAGCTGTGAGGCTCCACAGCCACAGCTGGCTTCCCTGAGGTCCCATCAGCCCGGAGTTCCCACGCTTATAGCTTTAAATGTCTGGAATCAATTACTACACTCACTGATCCAATCTGCACTCCCACTGCATTACACTGCTCTGATGAACAGTCTGTACAGCTGGACATTCACAGCCCCAGTGTGAAGACACACACAGGAACATACAGTCCAAAACCTCAGTGTTAAAGGGCCAGTTCCACCAAATACTTTCAAAGACGCTTTACAGGATAAAAGAACAAGAAAAGCAACTAATGCAAAAGCAGACAAAGCAAAAATACAGGACAGCAGGTAGAAAAACACACAAGATAAAATATAATATAAAAGTTTATGTATGAAAAGCAGAGTGAGAGTTTCTAGACACAGTTCTGAGTTAAGACGTGGAGAATAAATTGGTTTAGGTAAAATATTATGAATTGAAGCTCACACTGTGGTTTGTTTAGCCGACCACACGTTAAATGATCTGTGAAAGGACAACGGGAAAGTTAACAACCCAATGATTCTTACTGATTTACAGTTCCTGGTTCAGTGAAACAGGCTACTAACACACAATAACAACAAAACTGTGTTGTTGTAATGATGCTCATTACTGGGATCTGATCCGATAATTAGCCGATCGATGAATCCCTACGCTAGAGGCCACAAAGCCATCCGTGCTGGTCCTTTAACGTGTTGTATCTGCTTCGTTTGCTCTCTATAACAACACAGAACACACCACAGCTGGTGGTTTTAGGTGCACTATGTGCTGGAACAACGGTCAGTGCAGCTTCCTGAATCCCACAGAGTCCAAAACCAAACCCTGTGCTCGCTGGCAGCCCTCCCAAACGACAGACATTTGACTTGTCACAGCAGAAAAAGCATGTGTGAAATAAGAGATGTTAACAATGACTCCGTTAGTTTAAGTGTCCCATTGAGGCAGCTTGTGGAACAGCTGGACCTTCCCTGTGCAGCCATCACTCATCTACCTGTGCTTGTCCTGCTATCACACGTCATGTCTGCTATGTGGAGCCACGCTGTAACGCATGCAGGAGGTGGTTTGAGGGGGGATGAGGGGCCATGTTAGTAAAAAGACTGAAACGCATCTCCCTTGCCAGGCTGCCATGCTCCCTCTCCATCGCATAGATGGACAGCTGTGTGTGAGACACCTGCTCTCAGGCTTTGTCTCCTGCTCTGAGCATCGTTTTAACCTTCCTGTTTGTGTACAGATTTAACAAATAAATCAGAGCCAGGCCAGCTGCTTCCATTCTTACTGCCAAGCTCCAGCTCCTATATCCTTGCATAAGCTTTACCACGTGTGTTATGGTTGCTCAAATCCTTCGTAACGGACTGACAGCTAAACGAGTCGTACCTTGAGGACACTTTGTCGGTGTCGTGGTGATGCCGTAGACCCGAGAGCGTTTCTGTGGCAGAAACTCTTCTGCCTCTCTCTCTAAGCGACGGTCCACAGCCACCACCGCCTCCCTGTGAAACAAGCAAACGGTAAATCAGGTAAACATTTCAGAGACCACACACCGAGGTTTGATCAGCGTCACATTAACAGCCCTGTTAAACACACTTAGGACAGCTCCAGTCAAACAGTGCAGCTGGAGACAGCGACGTTTACAGCACAGGTATACTGTTTATTTAAAATCCACTCAGACTCTGGGCCCGCTAATGGACACGTAGCTCTGTGATGCTAGAGAGTCGGCGCATGAAGAGCCACCGAGCACCGATGTCTTCAGAAAGGAGGCTGCAGCACTTCTATTATCAAGACACTCCTGAAGCAGAGACAGCTTCAGAAGATAAAGAACAGGACTGATTCTATTTCATCTGGAAGTCAACCCTAAACCTCGCCTAGAGTCTGGAGGAAGAATCCAAGGAGTCTGAAGTCCAGTGTAGAAGCTTCCACAGCTTGTGATGACTTTGGGTGCCAAGTCGTCGTCTGCTGTTGGTCCACCACCAAATGGTTTTCTGACCACAACATAGAACTCTGCATCCCATATAGAGTGTTGTCCATCCATTATCTCTACACCTTAATCCTCACTGGGGTCATGGGGGGCTGGAATCTATCCCAGTTGACTCAGGGTGAAGGCAGGTTCACCTGGACAGGTAACCAGTCTATCACAGGGCTACACTTAGAGACAGACAACCAAGCACACTCACATTCACACCTACGGACAATTTACAATCACCAATTAACCTCAGCATGTTTCTGGACTGTGGGAGGAAGCCGGAGAACCCGGAGAGAACCCACGCTGCACGGGGAGAACATGGAGATCCAGGTCACCTCACATGAACCGGCAGCCTTCTAGCTGTGAGGCGACAGTGCTAACCACCGATCCACCTTGCAGCCCAAGATGAGAAACACCAGACCCAACAATACAGATGAGTTGAAGGCTGCTATCAGAGTTTTGATAACACCCTAGCAGGGCCACAGGCTGTTCCATTCACACCACACGGCATTGATGCAGTAATTTGTGGTAAAGGAGCCCTAACCAAATTTTTCAGATATTGGATTTCTGATTTTTAGGAGCTATAATCATCCAAAATTATAACAAGAAAGGGCTTGAAAAGTTTTACTTAATGTGTAATGAAACCTTTTTGAATTAACACCATTCACAACATTCTCATGTTTTGAGCTGCACATGTACATTCAAAGCTTTCCCAGTGGGATCTCAGATCCCTCTCAATCAGTGATGTGTGGGCTGGTTGATGAAGAGCTCTGAACCCTCCAAAATCTAAATTGAATACAACTGTCTTTGCGTCTCTAATTGCGAGGCAGCTAGCTCTTCTTAGCCACAACCCACCCACACTCACTGGGTTAGAGATTTAACGCACGTTTTGCAAATAGGGAACATCAGATCAACTCGGAACGGTCTAGAGACAGATTTTACAAGGACTGGCAGCCATTTATCTCACATGTCGAGAGCAGCAAACTTGAGGCTCATTATGATCCTTGGAAATGAGACAAAGCTGCACAGAAACAATCACCAGTGATGAAAAGGTGACACATCAATGGTATTCATTTCAAAGACGGTAAAGGTCTGCACGTATGCAGCACCTTTCTACCTTAGTGGTCCTCAAAGCGCTTTACAATGTGTTTCTCATTCACCCATTTATACACCAATGGTGACAGAGCTGCCATGCAGGGTGCTGCCTGCCATCGGGTTCAGGTTCATTGTCTTGCCCAAGGACACTTCGACTGTAGAGGGCATCGAACCACCAACCTTGCGATCAGTGGACAACCTGCTCTACCACCTGAGCCACAGCTGCCCACAAATATCTATCTGTGCCCCAAATGTTTCATTCAACAGGCGCAAAAGCCTCTGAAATACTGTCATTGTAGAGCTCCAAGCACTGATGCTGCTAAGACCTGTAGATGTTTTGTCAATGCGTACCTCCTCCAGTCAGTGTAATACAGATATCTTCCAAAGGAGACTAAGGCGAAGGGATACTGGATCCCCTCAACAATCGACCTCCTTAACCGGCGGTGAGGATCCATGCACTCCACCTTCCGAGTCCCTGCAGATCAATATGGATCAATCAGTCAGGAACATAAGACTGAGGCTACATCCGGACTAAGAGAAGAAGGAGTGTCTCACCTGCATCGGCCCAGCACAGCTGCTGGTTGTCGGGATCAAAGGTCAGACCATTGGGAAGCCCCAGGTCGTCTTTGACCAGGACTGTCCGCTCGGTCCCGTCCATGTTGGACATCTCAATTTTAGGCCCATCTCTGTCCCAGTCTGCCCAGTACAGCCGCCTGAGATCAACAGGACAGAGCAGTTAGAACAAACAGAATAGAACAGAAATACTTTATTAGTTCTCGAGGGTAAATTCAGTTGCACCACCAGAAAGAGTAAAGTTAGCGCCACCATAAATCCACAGCCTTTGTTCCATCACTCACCCGTATGCTGGGTTGGTGACGATGGGTCGAGGGTTGACCAGGTCGCTGTCAAACAGGACTCTGCGCTGGCTGCCATCTAGCTTGGAGACCTCCACGGTGTCTCGCATGGAGTCGGTCCAGAAGAGAAGACGGGCCACATGGTCGATGGCGATGCCTTCAGGACTCTGCAGTCCTGAGGAAGAAGGAACACTGTAGTTCAGACACTGGAAACATCCACCCAGCCAGGATCTGTAGATCACCTACAGCCCATTCTTCTAGCAGTGACATCCGAGTTATGAGACTGACTCCTCTCATGGACTTTAATTCAAATTAATTGAAAGTAATTAAAATCCAACTTTATAATGTATACCTTCATCAGGGGCTAAAAATAAACAACAACCACCAAGCTACCCAGATATTCAGTCAGTCACTGAGTCCTCAGTTGTTTCGCCTGTTTTACAGACAGCAGGTTTCTGGTTAATCCTCTAAACCCACCGGCAGGTTCGACAGTCAGACAATCTTTTTAAAAACTGCCAAAATTATACCATTTATCAAAGACCGTAGCAGCTATCTAATCAAGTGTGACTTGGAGTTTTGTGGAAAAAATGAAGATTCTGCTCTCTGTAGCACAACCGAGAAGCCACGACCGACTCAGCCGTGACCAACAGTCACATGGCAAATTTATTTTTCTGCTTTCACAGTTTCTGACTTTGATAAATGTTTGTCATTTACATTTACAGAGTTTTGGAGTTCAGAGGGATAAACCCTAATTATCCATCTGCATCTGCGCCATGAAGAAACCAAAAAGGAAACACAAGGGTGAAAATTGCATGCAGATTTGTAGTGATGTAATGAAAACTCCATCCTCGTGCATTAAAGTTGGACACAGACCCTGTTCTTGAGTGCAACTATAGAAGTACTTGTGGGGATCTTGGGTTGAGACAAACGGACTGTCGGGTCCGTTGTACCTGTGGTGATGACCGGGATGATGTCTCCTCCACTCAGAGGGGCCTTGCTTATGGCCGGTCCAGTGATGTCCGTCCAGTAAACCATCTTCTCCACGCAGTCGTAAGCTACACCAATCACCACCCGATCCTGAGAGGAAAACACAGATTCATTCATCCGGAGACATTTTTCAAAGAGTCTTTTGTGCGAGCGACCAATCGGGCTTAAAGACGCCAACGCTGACGGAAAGCTTCATGTTCATCAATGCTGCTGTGTGGCAGATGATTTACAGACTTCTTGCGAGAGAAGAAAAGAGTTCTGAAATCTGAGAGAAGAACAACTGAAGGATTGTTTCATCAGGAACAAGTATGCCCACCAGCAGTTTAACTGTACTCACGACGAACAGCGACTCTGTACATTCTTTAACATGTGATCATAAAAGGACCGAGTGTCGTCACCACGAAACTCTTTCAGACCAAAGATATTCTGACCGCATGTCACGTCTGCGAGGATTTGGGTTTACTCTAAAGCTGAAGGGGGTTTTGGAACTTGGGTTTTGATTTTGTGACACTAATACGTTTCTCACACTGAGTTATTTGTGTAACTAAACAGAAACGTGTGTTGATGGTACTTGGTGGTAAAATGTACTGTCGTTATGTCACAGAGTTCCCAGACCTCAGTAATTACTGTATAGAAGTAGAGTGAGCATACCCCCTACATCACTTTCATGTCAAATGGTTTGAAACTGCGCCTCCTCTCAATAATTACTGGCTGCACAAACACTATAAAACTGCTCCACAATAGCCAGTTGTACCGCTGGAGTAATTCACATGTTCCAACTGGAAACTGACTGAAGAGGAATAATGGTGCAGTAAATCTCCTCCTGTAAGCCGACAAGACTTATATTTATATTTATTGTTCTGTTCTATTGCTGCTCTCCATCTGCTATCCTGTTTTCCCCACCCACCGATCCACCCACCTATCCCCACTCTCACCCAACTGGTCGAGGCAGATGGCCGCCTTCCCTGAGCCTGGTTCTGCCGGAGGGTTTTTTTTCCTCCCATTGGGTTTTTTTTTGGTTCCTTCCCACCGTTGCCAATCGCTCAGAGGGAGTCCAAAGGCTACTTTGGATTGTTGGGTTCTGTTTGAATTTGTAAGGTCTATACCTGACTATGTAAAGTGCTGCGTGATGACGTATGTTGTAAACTGCGCTACACAAATAAAACTGAATTGATCCTTTAGGTTTGTTCAGTATTAAACCACAAAAGTCTCAATCCACATTTTAGAGACAGTATGCTGCAGTTTTAAGGTAGAAAGCCATTGTGTTGACTGTTTATTTCACTTCTAATGTGTCTTCTAGCTTATAAAAAACACCACATGGACATGTTGACTAGGTCAAATAAATAAATCCTTAATTCCACGTCATACATGTTTTATTGGCAAAAATAAAAAATAAAAATCATTTAATTGTTTTTGAACCATCCATGGTTGGTGATAGATTTTCAGGACTTTATTTTCTACAAAAAGCAAAAACACAAATATCTAAGATGCAGTGCTATCCCACCTGACCCCACGCTTTCAACGACACTTCCTGTTTTTAACTGAAACCAGAGACCAGAAGGAAAGCCAGGTGATGCTTGTGAGAGTTTGTGAGCAGTGATGCTGTTCTTACCGGGATGTGCAGCAGAGGTTTGGCGTCCTCCTTCTTCATGCTGTACCCAACCAGCGGCACGTGTTCGATCTTCCCGCTCTGAGCAAACAGCAGATGTGTTCCAGGAGCGATGGGAGGCACGTCAGGCCGTGGAGTCGGACCAGTCGGCGGCGGAGTCACGGTTTGGTCGATACCTGTGTAGGACACGAGAGTTCCACTGGCGGCAGGTTTTGTGTCGGTTCTACGTTCTGCCTCTTGCAATAGAGTCACAAAGGTGGCATTTGGTTTCTTTAAAAAAACGGCTGAAAAATCCCGAGGGTTGTTTGAAAACACATCACATATGATATTGGATTAATGCCAATACCAATGTTCCTATACCTATTATTATGGTGATGCCCTCTGGCAGGTGCAGCCATATAATATAGCGCTTTTCAAATGTACACATTCTCTGGGCAAAATAAGGAAACTGCTTCAGCTTACATGGAAAACATATTTCAAATGTAACCGTTAACTTTTATCCTGACAGGTGTTATCTGCCCGTCAGTGTAGGACTCAGGCCAAACCCAAATATCATTTTAAATGTCTTTATCAGTTGATTCTAATGATTTCATTACGGTCCAGCTCCATTGTTGGCATCACACTGCTCTGACTGATTCATCTTTTATTGAGACCATTTTAAGCAGAGAACTCACACAGAGGAGTGCTGCTGGGTCCGGTGCGGGTGTTGGGGATCTCCTGGCCGCTGGCGTCCACACACCAGCACTGGGCGATGCTGTCGTGGCACTGCGTGGGCCAGTAGGCCCCTCGCTCATCACACTGGGGGATGTACTGACGGACAGCCGGCCGAGGACGGAAGAAGAAGTAGCCGGATCCAGAGGAGTTACCAGTCCGGGCCGTCTCTCTGTGCCGCTCACAATCTGAGGACCCACAATCACAGTCCCAGTCAGACACAGAGGACACAGTGGGAGGGCGTCGGCTACAAAACCCAACAGGTCCGTTCACACTCAGGTCTCACAATTTCATCCCTGAACCCCAGAGCCTGCCAGCAGGTTGGAAAGTCAAGTCATCTGTACAATAAAATCACCAAAACTACACGACTGATCAGAAACGGGAGAAATCATCAGGTTTTGAACTTCTAGAAAACCCCTGAATTAATCGTGTGATGTCTCCAAACCTGATCTCAAAACTGTGACATTTAATCAAAATCAAGTTTTTTTTAAATGTCATTAAAAAGCAGTTAAAAATAAGTGTTTGTACCTGATTTTGTAAAAATGTTTTACTTAAATTAGCACTCCTGCTAATGTCTTATTGAGTTGCGCTCTATTTCAAGTCGTTTTTAATTTCTTCTTATTTAGTTGTTTGTTTCCCAATGATGCTGATACAACTAATCAGTTAATCAATGTGTGTCTCTGAGCTGATAAATCAGGTTGGCAAGTATTTTTGATTCCTAAACTAGTTGCCAAATTTTTAAAGCAAACAACAGATTCTTTGGTTCCAGCTTTTGAAAAGTGAAGACATGATGTTTCTAGTTTTGTCCTGTTGGTGGGATTAAACGAGACATTTAAGGATGCTACACGTGGTTTAGTTTTGTTTTTTTCAAAGACCGAGTGAACTATGAGGTATTTTTAAATATAACCAGAAATGTAAATTCTGCATCCAAGTCTATTCTGTACCAGCTCCTGACAGGTCGAATCTTATTGAACTTTCTTTCTTGCTCCTGAGCAGACAGAGTTCAGTACGTGGCAGCTGCAGATAAACGTGTGAGCTGCACAGACAACCGCAGATTAAAGACAAGCTGGAGGCTCTTCATCTCTGCGGTCACATCCAGGCCCGGTGACATCTGGGAGAGCCTCTGCTCGCTTCACACTCTTATCCTCAAAGGTATCTATCTGCAAGACGAACCACAGGGCAGCCATAACAGTCCCGTCTGACAGACAGCAGGGTGTCCTCACAGCACCACGTCTGCTCCCAATAATCAGACAAAAAGACAGAGACAGAGCCCCGAGAGAGGGCCGAAGATAAAAGACCAACCACTGAGACAAAAGGGAGCTGAGTGAGTGCTGCTTACAGTAGGAGACGCTGTGACAAGTTTTGACAAAGGACACCAAATGATGCCTTTCAGAGGCCAGGCAGGTCATAAAAAAGATGAAAATATGACAAAACTTTGGTGCAGAGGAGTGAAGCTGTAATTATCTCTGAGTTCTCAGCTCCTGACACCTGGAATCACTGACGGAGTATGAATCTTTGGTTTGACGGTAAACCACCAGCGACAACAACAAACCAGGCAGGAAAAAAATCCACCTGCTGTCGGCCAATCAGGTGCCTGCATACTGAATTCAGATCATGTAAGTGTAAACGCAGCACTGCTTTGACATTTTCAACAAAGAAAAAGGAGCAGATTTAATCATCTGCATGTCCTCAGTTCAAGTGCTGTTAATGAACGACTGTTAAACAACAACAGAAACAAACACAGGGGACAGAGGGAGGAAAGAAAATGGAACCACAGGGAAGGGACATGCTGCAGGCTTATATTGACTGTTCAGATGGATTCTACAGAGGATGCTTACTACGCTAGTGGGGTTTGTAAATTCCTGAGGAAGTTAGTTTTGTATGTCTGTGCCTGTCTTTTTGAAGCTGCCGTGTGTTTAGCTCTCACTGTAGGGCTATTAGTGGACCCACAGGTTTAACAAACAGAAGGGAAATGTGAAGTTAAAGACACATCAGGCTTTGGGTACACACTCTGGACTTATATGTATATGTTACATATATTCATTGCTCCATCAGGAACTTGTACATGCTGCCATGCCGTCACCTCGTCTCTGCACACACACTCCTTTTGTTTATACGCTAGAGCTTCTCTGAAAAGTTTGTAAAACCACCTTCATGGGGTTAAGCAGCCACCCACACACTTCAGTGGAAACACCCCCAAAGTGCCCACTACCACTGTTACTTATATTCCTTTTATTATCATTTTCTTTATATATTTATCTTTGCTTGGAGTCTTTCAGTGCCTTTATTGACCTTTACGTGTTGTCTGGGGATTTGTAGCACCACAATCCACCCTCTGCTGGCTGGTCTGTGATGGTCGGTTGTCGGTTCGGTACTTACCTGAGAGTGACGGGCTGCACTGGAAGCCGTCTCCCTGGAAACCAGGACGACACTGGCAGACGTAGGAGCCCTGTGTGTTGGAGCAGGAGGCTTCACGGTGGCACGGATCCTGCTGACATTCATCAGTGTCTGAACAGGTACGAATAAGAAGAGAAGAAACAAAGATGAAGACAAAACATTAAGAAAGCTGCAGGACCAAATGGCCTCCTCCGTTTTTGCACCAGTCAATCAGTGCTGTACTAACGACCTCCAGAGCCTGGTTTTAAAAGGTAGATTCAGTTGAATTTAAACTGTCAATGTGCATCATGGCAGCAAATCTGAATATTTGGTCAAAGGTACGCTCGCTATTTGCTTTTTCAGGACCTTTCTTGTGGAGCGGGTGTTTTGTCTCCCCAATGTACAGGTCTTGGCTTTCCTTCCTATATAGCAGGATGGGACATGAGTTCCTCTTCCTACACATCCACCAGAGCAGACAAAGTCTAAACGAAGTGCCAGGGAGTTTTTAAAGAACCCGTTCACTGTGACAAAAACACATGGAGCAACAAAAGAAATCCATTACTAGATGGATCAAGTCCAAGCCTTTAAGCAACGGCAGACATCCAGCATTTTCAGATGAAAAAATCTTCCTTCAAATTTGCTCATTATCAGTGTTTATTCGTACGCAAAAGTGGCGACAACAACTGGTCATTAGGCAGAAACTACTTTAACCAGAGTTTAGCCATGAAGCAGAGAAGGGACCAATTCAAACCTTGAACCAATGATGGAAGGTCCTTGTTAAAGGGTTTTGTTTTGGGTTTTTATTGGTTCCTTCCTTCCCACCGTCGCTGATCGCTTGCTCAGAGGGAGTCCAAAGGCTACTCTAGATTGTTGGGTTCTCTGTTTGAAATCTTAAGGTCTTTACCTTCTCATGTTAAGCACAATGCCTCAAAATAATTTTCCACCCCCAAAATTTTTCTCAGGAATTACTGGATGAAGTTTCTTCTTTTAGTCAAGTCAATTTTAGCAGGTATAGACCTCACAAATGTAAACAGAGAGCCCGACAACCCAAAGTTGCCTTTGGACTTCCTCTGAGCAACGGTGGGAAGGAACCAAAACTCCTGAATGGGAAGGCGGCCATCTGCCTCGACCGATCTTTAGGCTCCAAGTCTTCTGTAACGTTTAGCTGAGGTCACTATCACAGACATGCAGCTGTTGATGACGGCTCCTGAGAACACAAGGTTTTATTTGGACTGGTCACAAGCCAAAAGGTTGGAAACCACCGTCATCAAAACAAGCTGACAGACATGTCACCAACACTATAAGCACACAGTGTAAAGACAGTTTGGTCCTCCTGTTGTCTGTCCACACAGACTCTGATCCAGCAGAGCTGCATGAACACTCTTCAGACCTGAGCCAATGAAACGTAGAATAAAAGGGAAAACATTCCCACATTTACGCTGCAGCAGGACAGAGAACCCAAACATAGAGCCAGAATCATAAAGAAGTCAGAAGCAAGAGGAACAAGGAGTCCTACAACAGCCTGTCTGACCCCCACAGAGCCCTGATCCCAGCATAATGGAGGTCTGGATTACATGTTGGGGACGGAAGACACTGAGAAAGACTGAGTCCACAGAACAACTGGGGCAAGTTTCCTAAGTTGCTCAACCTACGGGCCAAGACCCTAAAAAAACATTATTAAAAGCATCTTCACATGACTTTCAGTGCCTCAGACGTTTCCATCAGGCTGTGACCTGCATTTCTTGACCAGGTGGAAGCCTTTCCTGTCCTCCCTGGGGCCCACAGAGCTGACCGACAGGATATTACACCTTGAAAAAACTGACTTAGCAGATTCTCCATGTACATACATCTATTGTCTGGCAGTGTTGGAGGAGGGAGCCCTCGTCTGCTGCACCTCCTCCACGTTCCCCTGCTAAAGGCTTTGACCACAACTGGTCTAAAGGTTGAGGGCGTCGTATCTCATAGAGATTAGCATTTATCTGGAGAAAATCAGGTTTCTTTTCTCTTATTTATTTAGTTGCAAACAAAGTAAAGTGGCAAAATATAATACATATATATATATGTGTGTGTGTGTGTGTGTGTTCTTATCCCCCCTTATTATGAATTTTGACCTTGTAATAATGAGGAGACTACAGGAATTACAACAAGCAAGATCGTTTTCTCATAATGACGCATCTTGAAATGATGACAAGACGACAGGAATGATCAGAAAATGATCTTATGAGGACAAGAAAACTATTGCACACATACAAGACTGCAAAAATGAATTTTTTCCTTATAATTATTATAGTGAGTCATAGCTAGGGAATACGGTTAATAATAAAACGCTGCTGTTGGCCCGTACATACTGAGCCTGTTTTTGTTCTTGCTTCGTAATTTTGCCGTCCTGTGTATCCACACTGATAAGAAAAACGGTAAAAGTAGTCTTTCAAGGAATTCTTCAGGCAACACTTAAACTGTAGCCTTGGTTTTATTGCGACCTTCAGCACAGACTGCATGAATTATTATCATCTAACTGATACCAGTAAAAGTCACAACACTGAGGACTGACCGTCAGCCCAAGGTCTGCCGACTCCACCAGCACACAGCTGCTACAGTAAACTCTGTGGGCTCACCTCGACACACCCGGCCGTCGCCCGTGAACCCCGGCAGACAGGAGCAGACGTAAGCTGAGCCTCCGGTGTAGCGGCACAGAGCTCTCTCAGGAACATCGCAGTCATGAGTCCCTCTCTGGCAGTGATCCACTGGACGGTTCTCCTCTGCAGGACCCGACAGACAACATGTCAGCAGAGTCACACCGGGTTCAACAGAACTCACATACCTCGTCTGTTAGCACTCAAACACATGGAGGTTGTTGGTTAGGAAGTGGAAAAGGCAGGTAGATGGGCAGGTGACAAATCTGGCCACTGCAGGTTCATCAAATGGCTCTTCAGCCCTATTGAACATTTTTTCATTCATGGTGCTTCTGGATGTCAGAAAAGTACATTTAAACCCCAATGCTCCACATGGCCACACCCTGCAGGGCTCATGCTCCTTTTGCTGCTTTCCCATGGACCTGTTTTAAACAGGTGCACATAAGACTTTTTAAACTTTGTTTTTGACCGACTTAAACTGCAACCGCTCCCCTTAAAATTAAGTTTTTCCAAAAAAGAGTGTTTGCACTTCGACTCGTAGACGTGTTGTCGTCAGGACATAACGCAAAACTGTCACTTGTTGGTTCCGTCTGCTCGCAATAAACAAGGAGACCTGCACTGGACATCTGTTATTTGTTGCATGAAAACAGCATTTAAAAAATCCTGTCACCTTGTTGTAGAACAGGGATCTCCAGCTCCGGTCCTGGTGAGCTCCTGTCCTGCAGGTTTTCCGTACTGCAACAGACCTGACTCACATTAATGGATCACTAACAGACTTGTGTAGAACTTGACAACAAGCTGTTGGAGATCCATTAATGTGAGTGTGTTGCAGTACAGAAAACCTGCAGGACAGTAGCTCACCAGGACCGGCGTTGGAGATCCCTGGATTAGAGAATTACTGAAGTTCAACTAATTCATCCTGAGGGAAACATGAGCGCCAGAACCACATTTATAAGCAGTACATTCTGTATCTGCCAAAATAGTTTAGGGCTGATTCACTGAAACAGCCACTCTTAGGTTCATGCTGCTATAAACTGGTCTATACAACACAATGTGGAGATATGACAGCATACGTATGCACTGAGACTATCACAGAGGAAAACCTAAAAGAAAAAAGTTTGGGAAATGCAAATGAGTGTCTCAGTTCATCCTCCTAAAAAGCACACAAGATGTGTTTTATTCTTGCTGAAATAATAACATTGTGTTTCTAATTGTTAGCCTTTAGCTGCCTTCCTCTCTTGTTTAAATACTGAGTCTGAGCTGGAACAAGTCTCCTTCACAGCCACACAGAACCTTTATTGTTTACGTCTGTTGGCGGCTTTTGGGACGTTCGTATGTGAAACAAGGGACTGTTCAAACAAAGTCACACACAGGAACCACATACTTCACCCACACACACACACACACAGCTGTCAGCACACGGCTAAAACGTACCGATGCACGTCCTTCCGTCGCTGGCGAACACGAAGCCAGTGGAGCACTCGCAGCGGAAGGTTCCAGGCTGATTGCTGCAGACGGCGTTGGGTCCGCACACCTGAGGAGTGTCCCGGCACTCGTCGATATCTGTCGACAGCAGATCGATGATGAGTAAGGATTTGCATTGAGTGCTGATGTGCAGATGTACAGGTGGTTTGATCACTTCTATCTGCTGATTAGAAGTATTAACTTACTGCACTTGGATCAGCTTTTTGTAGAGAAATAAGCACCTACAGCTGCACCAGCATGTTTGCAAGGCTCATCACAACGGCATCACACATCCATCCATCCATCCATCCATCATCTATACACCACTTAATCCTCACCAGGGTCGTGGGGGGCGGAGTCTATCCCAGCTGACTCAGGGTGAAGGCAGGTTCACCTGGACAGGTAACCAGTCTATCACAGGGCTACACTTAGAGACAGACAACCAAGCACACTCACATTCACACCTACGGACAATTTACAATCACCAATTAACCTCAGCATGTTTCTGGACTGTGGGAGGAAGCCGGAGAACCCGGAGAGAACCCACGCTGCACGGGGAGAACATGGAGACTCCACGCAGGAAGATCCCGGGTGTCCTCACCGGGACGCGACCCGGCGACCTTCTAGCTGCGAGGCGACGATGCTAGCCATCGTGCAGCCCGGCTCCACATCAGTGAAGCAAAAACGAACGATGGACAGAAGAGAAAAACTGAAAAGGACGATCTGGTTGCAAAAACAAACATCAGCTGTATGGAAATACATCAGCTACAGAAACGATGATGTCGACTGAAAACACTCTGTCAGCAGCATCTTGTTGCCGCCACATGAAACAACAAGACTCATTTGTTTGACCCTTTAAATCAGCAGCACAACTTGTCTTGGCAGAGCTGCATGAAAAATGTACGGTACAAGAAAAAGAACTGTGGACTCACATGCAGCTACAACAGACTCATTATGGACTTTATTATGAGAACAACTGAAAAGTCGCTGGTTTTCCAGATGATCACACGCAGCGAGGCTCTAACACACATGTTCATCATTGTGCCATTTTACATCCCATTCTCCATTTACATTTAAAGTGCTTTATTTTCACACTGTACATTCAGCTTAAATTGGTTTTGTTGTTCTTTTCTGACTTTAAAGTTATCTTCGTTTTGTATAACGTATACAAATCACTTTGTAACTGTGCTTGAGAAGATGCACAGATGAGGTTATTCAGAAACCTGTTTCATCACTGCGAGGTCGAGCACGTGGCGGTTGTGTTACCTTGGCAGTAGCGTCCGTCTCCAGCGAAACCAGTCGTACATTCGCAGCTGAACTGGAGGCCTTCACCGGGTCTGCACACAGCGTTAATGTCGCAGCCATGTCGACCAGTGAAACATGGATTCTGCTCCGGGAAGCCGCCTGGCAGTAAAATAAAAACACCGGGCAGGTTAGAACCAACGATAATAATAATAATAATGCAACATACACTACGGCCAGACAAAAAGAGCAAATGTTTCTCACGTGGCTCATGACTAATTAGAAATGTTGTGGAATAACCTGGAGATTTTTATTCAAGTTTAGTTAACGACCTCATTTTCACCTCATCATGCTGTGGAGGGACTGGTGACCTTCACACAATAGATGGCATCATGAGGAAAGAACATGATGTGGAGATACTGAAGCAACATCTCCAGACATCAGCAGGAAGTTACAGCTTGGACACTAATGGGTCTTCAGATGGACAATGACCCTCAGCATAGCGCCAGATTAGCTACAGAGAGGCTTCAGGACAACAGAGTCAGTGTTGTGGAGTGGCCATCACAAAGCCCTGATCTCCATCCTGTGGAGCAAGGAGACCAACAAACCTGACCCAGTTCCACCAGTTCTGTCAGGAGGAATGGGCCAGAACTCATCAGACTGCTGTGAGAAGCTTGTGGAAGGAAACCCAGAACGTTTGACCCAAGTCATAGAGTTTAAAGGCAACGCTAGCAGATACTGAGGAGATGGATGGAAACTTCTGACTCTGAAGAAAGTCATAAAAATTCTCTCTCTCATTATTCTGGCGTTTAGCAAATAGAAATAATGTTGGTGATCCTGACTGACCTGAAACAGGAAACGTTTAGTCTGATTTAATGTCAGACAGCGAGAAAAAATACCAGGTTATGTGTCTTTTTATATAGTGGATGTAAACTTCAGAGTCGGCGTCCTCTTGTTCCCATCATGCAGCTGAGAGCGAGAGCTCCATGTTTGAAGTTTCCTCCTCAGGAAACACGACCCAGATGTTCCACTTTTTGCCAACAAACCCCAGCTGAGTGGTGTTTGCTTGTGTAACACAGAACCCCCCCAGCACTCCCAACAACATGCCCCACCTGCACTGTTACCTTTAACCCTTCATTTTATTTTAAAAAAGAAAGAAAGAAAGAAAGAAATTCTCCTGATGCCATTTCCCCTGGTCTACTCCCTGATGCGGACCGAGGGTTGGTATCTCGTTGACCTCGGCCGCTGACCGTCACCCCCTGCCAACCCTCACGGTCTCTCTGATTGCAGCTGAGGAAATACAGCCCGGCTCAGATTACTGTTTATCTTTCTCTGATGTTCCACTGCAGACACCACCGAGGCACTAAACCGTTGGAGGCGTGTTTCGGTGCATTCCTCTGGGTAATAACACACATCAGTTTACTCTGACTGTTCCTGACAGACAAGCAAAAGACAAGGACCTGAACAATGTGACAACCTGCAACCGGGCCGGCCCACGTTACAAAACCTGTACCATCTGATTCCATCGATAAAACATGCGCTTGTTCCACCAGGAAAACTAAATAGTGTTATATTATGAAAGCTGCAACTGACAGTTATTTCCATTATTGATGAACCTGCCATTGACCTTCTTAATGGATCAACAAATTAGTTAAATCTAGAAAAAAATAAAATAAAATAGTAAAAAAAAAGATAAACGTTTCTTGATGATATCCAACAGTTATTTCCATTACTGATGAAAACATTATTTTCTAAAAACAGTATTTAGACAAAAAAAAATAAAGCTGCCAATGTTTTTATTTATTTATTTTCAGTCAAGCTCATATTTTTTTCATTTTTCTGTTCTCATCACAATTTAGCCTCCATAAAATGCTTCGTCTCATAGAAAGTGTTGGAAAAAAACGGGCTTATCGAGCCACAATGTCTCTCAATTTAAGAACAGGGCCAGTACCGACACTGAACCTTGTCCTTTATTGACTGACTGGGAAAATCGATTTTGGAAACCCATTTCTAAAAAAATAAATCAATAAATCTTGTTTTGTCCGACCAACAGTCCAACACCTCAGGATTTTCATTTTACTGTGATTCAAATGATTTTTCTCCCAATCAAGTAATCTTTTAATTGACAATTTGGTGCAGCTTCAATGCAAATTGTTTCCACTTTTTTTTAAGTAAACCACATTTCTTCTTCTTTTTTCGTTGTTTTGGTTAAAACTTAAACTTCATAGAATTTTTCAGAGTTAGAAAAACATGTGCAGGGAGGCTGAGTCCCTCCAAGGAATTCAAAAAAAAATTTGGGTACAGGAGGCGCATCATATCACTGATGATGTTAGATCTGGCGATACATTTGTTGTGGTGTTTTTAAGATTGAGTTCTTATGGATGTGAAATTGTGTCTGATTTTGAGGTGTTTTTGTTGTCTGGTTTCTGTCAAGGTGTCAGAACTCACTGTGGACTGAACCGATCTTGTTGCTCATGGCGTAGCGGATCAGATTGTTGCCGGCATCGAACATCACAAAGATCTGGTCCACGCTGAGCTGCTGGGTGGGCAGCGCCGCCCTGGTGGACTCATCGTGTGGGCAGCTCTGGAAGGTGATGGTCTGACGCCACTGGTAGCTTCTGGTCTGGACATCACCGTCTGGGGAGGTGACGGTGTAGTCGCGGTTGGAGGAGGAAGTGATCACTGAGAGGAGGAAGAGAAACAAAACAACGGTTCAGCATTAGAACACTTTGGTGGAAGTCTTTGGCCGAACAGGGATTCAGTGTTTTTGTGATTCAGCTTTTTTTTTTTTTTTGTTGACATTTTATTTAGCATGTTAATGGTAGCTTCTGCATCCTCATGTTAATGTCTTAATATGCTATTGTTAATAAACATACCAATGCTAATGCTAACGTTTACTAGGTTTAGCTTTAGACACAGTGTGTTTGTACGAGGTCTGAGCTGGTGTCCTTACAGTTTCTGTCATACTGGTAGATCTCCTTGTACGGGTTGATCTGGACAGTATATCCTTGTGGGATGGCCGGCAGCCGACCCTCCAGTGTGGTGCTCACCACCAGATGGTCGTGTTCATCGATCCCTTTAAACTGCTGTTTGATGCTGAGACGCTCATTACCAGGCTGGAAGATCACCTCAGCCTGCCGTGAAAACACTCCACCTGCAGGGAAGCATGTGGAAGACAACATAATGGTCTGTACAGAGTCATGCGGTTTTTAAGAAAATTAAGTGAAAGGCAACATGGATGGATGGATGGATGGATGGATGGATGGATGGATGGATGGATGGATGGATGGATGGATTCATGGATTCATGGATTCATGGATTCATGGATGGATTCATGGATTCATGGATGGATTCATGGATTCATGGATGGATGGATTTTTGACAAGGACTATATAATTATGGTCAGATGACTGGGGTACAGCGTCTTCAGAACACTGGAGGGTGCTCCTGGTCAGCATTAATGAGTACCTTTCAACAGTGGTACGAGGAGAGACAAATCATGGATCGACCAAGAGGTGTTGTGGATGCACTAGAACGAGTTTGAAACGCGGCTCCTCCAACTCGCAACTTGCAGGACTTAATGGATCTTATGCTAGCATCCTGATGCCAGGTATTACAGGATGCCTTCAGAGGTCTTTTAAAGTCCAGACCTTGGACCAACAGCGTATCGGACAGGGGTAGTTCTAATGTTATGGCTCATCAGTGTATTTCATTTATGTTAAACCAGCCATCATCATGAATGGTGAAAAATCAATAAACTCGCACTAAATAGCACCTAACACATCAATAAGCAACATCATCTCTCCTCACCAACAATACTGAAGCCATTCTGGTAACCAGGCTGCTCCAGGGCAAAGGCCCAGCCGATGACTCCCCCCAGCGAAGACAGCGGCTGCAGGGAGGGGCCCACAGTACCGTTGATGTTGCTGATAGCCACATATGCTCGTCCATCATTGGCTACCACATAGGAGTGTAAGTCATTGTTACCAAGCTCCACTGGTGTGGGAGAGCTCCCCACAAACACTCGACCATTCACCTTTCCATTCATCCTCTGGGGTTTTCCTGCAAAACAACATTTTTGATTACAAGAGCAGCAGTGCCAGGGAAGAGTCAGGGGATCGGCAGCCCTTCTACGTATTAGAGGATAAATCTGAGATGTGACTGATCATGGGATAGGCAAAGAAGAGACAGCAAAGCTCTGCTACACATATTTAAAGTCACATCTTTTCTTTCCTTGTTGAAAATCAAGATTTTTTAGGGCTTCATGACTAGTATATGTAATTAAATGAGACTGTATCAACACTTTACAAGTCAAAAGTAAACTAAAAATTCTATTTTTGACTACTGTAACCACACAAAGGTTATAGGCCACAGGAAACTGTCATAGCCATTTTATTTTTGTTGTGTGTTATTAATTGAGAAACAAAATCTGACAAAATTTGGGGATTACTGCAGCTTTGTAGTGCTTGTCAGACATGATTTGTCTTCACAGGAGTTTCAGTAACACTGAAAATGTCTCACCTTCTGCAACACAATCCCTCCCGTTGCCATAGAAGCCAGGCCTACAATGGCAGCAGTACCCATCGCTGTAATCCCGGCAGTCAGCGAAAGCCGAGCATTTGTGCCTGTTGTGAGCACACGTCTCCAAATTGTATGCAAACACTGTAAAACGAACCAATAAGGGCATCAGTCAGCTTGGCTTCAGTTAAACTAAAACTGAACAAATTTCATAGAAGCTCTTGACAGGATGGAAAAAAACCACATACACACAAAAGGTCGGAGCTTTCATCACTTACCGTTCACATTCAGATCTTCAACTTCATCTACGACAACAATCTGGGGGTGCTGGGGACGAGAATGTGGTGGCACTGGTTGGACCGGCTCAGGGTTGGTGTACCGTGGTTCAACCGGATCAGGGTTAGGGTATCTCGGCACAACTGGGGAGTATCTAGGCTCACTGGGCTCAGGAATGGTGTATCTTGGTTGCAGAGTCTCAGGGACAGGGTATCCGGTCTTGGTTTGGTCAGGGTATCTTGGCCCAAGTTGATCCGGATATCTTGGTTGGACCCGTTCAGTGTTGGTGGATGTTGGTGCGACAGTCTCTGATTCGATGTATTCTTGGTAAGGTTCTGCAGTACTGGGTTTGATGTGTCCTGGTGTGACATTTTCAACTTCTGGGTACCTGGGTTGGTACTCACTGGGAGTGGCCCTTGTCATGTGAGTTTCATAGGTAGTGGTTTCATCGGGTTGTCGTGGCGACATGGTCACAGGAAGCTCAGTAGCGTCGTTGTCCTCAGGAGAGCGAGTGGCCATCCCTGGTGTGATGTTGATGAAGATTGGTGTCGCACCAATCTCATACACCCAAACTCCATTCCGTGCCGAGTTTGTCTTTCTGGTTGAACAGAGCAAAAAATATTAATCAGTGTGAATGAAAGGGCACAATTTTAAAGGAGGACGGTTAACAGCACCTTCCACATACTAGCATGTTCCTTACTGTGGAAAACTTTGGCTTTGAAAGATGGATCGTTAAGTTATTTTAATACATTTTGTGTGCATAAAGTATCTATACTTTAAATTTCAACACAAATCAACCATCGCCACTCGTCATCCAGCGACATCAGATTCATACTTGGTAAGATCCCTGATGGAGGTCTCGTCATCGGTGGTAGTGCGGAAGTATGTTCCCTGTATGGTGTTCCAGAACCATCCCGACACAGTGCCTTCACTGAAGCCGGCCTCCAGCAGCTTGCTTTCTCCCTCTACCGATGTGGAGAGGAACTGCAGGCCATCTCTGGGGTACAAGAGGATGGCGTAGGAAGACGACTCCATTGAGGCCAAAACCAGCTGGAAGGTGTTTCTCTGAAAATACAAATGAGACGTTTGTCCCAGCAATTCTTGGTTTTAGTGCACAGTTCTGCTAAGTGTCCATTCTGACAGAAACAGCAAAGACCAGCGTTTAATAACAAAGAAATTTCAGACCAAAATCCATTAATTTTGCAGACATCATAGCAGGGAATAGCACTAATCCTTCAACAGAGTTTGACTTAGTTTGGCCTATTTGTTTGTTTTAGCTTGATTTGTTTTGGATTTGTTCAGATCAGCTGCTGACTATCTGAGACTACTATAAGCAGATCCCCTAAAATGAAAATACAGCATGTGGTCACAATGATTTTACAAACATGCATATAAACATATACAGCAATTATTACTATACTATTAATATACTCTATGTAAAGGTAAGCTAATGCCATTGATAACACGATGTATAGCTCACGCTCTGATGCAAAAGAAAAATCACAGACCTGAGATGTAAAGCAAACCATCCCCTATGAGCCAAACCAAACAGTCCCACACCTTAGCGTCCAGTCCGTCCCCTCGTCCAGACGTCCCTCGGGCGGCCATGCTCTCCCAGGTGACAATGAGGGTGTTGGTGGGTTCCACTCCCTCGTCGCTTGGAAAAGCCCGTCTGATGTGTTCAGCTGCCTGACTCAGCACATCCGGGCTGCTGTCCTGCCTGTAATAAACTTTCCCCTGTCCGTCGCTGTTGTCCAGGTCTCCCAGCAGCGCTGCGATCATTTTAAAATCACTGGGCATCATCCCCAAGTACTCCTGCTGAGCCGGAGGGTCGGCAAAAGCAACAAATCCGTTGGTGTTAATCTGGAACAAGAGGAGGAAGATCGGGTAGTTTAGTTAGCCGAGGATCTCAAACTACAGGAAATACATTTATGCCATTTGAAAATATTGTAAGGATTCTGATATTCCATGATTATCTTTTTCATAATATCGCGTAACAATGGCCAAGTAACAGTTATGAGGAAGGATTTAAGAGTTATGGTCTGTAAGGTGGCTCGGTGGTTAGCACCGTGGCCTCACAGCTAGAAGGTCGCCGGTTGGCGTCCCGGTGAGGACACCCGGGATCTTTCTGCGTGGAGTCTCCATGTTCTCCCTGTGCAGCGTGGGTTCTCTCCGGGTTCTCCGGCTTCCTCCCACAGTCCAGAAACATGCTGAGGTTAATTGGTGATTGTAAATTGTCTGTAGGTGTGAATGTGAGTGTGCTTGGTTGTCTGTCTCTAAGTGTAGCCCTGTGATAGACTGGTTACCTGTCCAGGTGAACCTGCCTTCACCCTGAGTCAGCTGGGATAGGCTCCGCCCCCCATGACCCTGGTGAGGTGTAGAGATGATGGATGGATGGATTTAATAGTTCTGATCTCCTTCATACTTATGACCTCTAAGTTTCTAGCTGACAGAACTCAGGATTTGTCTAATGAAGGACTGGCAGTGAAACAAATAAATGAAGTTTTGGAAAACATTTTGAGAAATTTGGAATGAGAAATAAGCTTTCCTGGTACAACAGTTATGAGGTGGAATCTTGTACCTACAACTTCGCTTCATCACACTGTGACAAAGTTTCTTATAAATTTCAGGTCTGAACTAAAAATTATGTATTACCTTAAAATAATCAGTGATGCATCATAATGATGTAAATAATTATTATTTGTTGTTAACTAGTGTAGTTCCTGGTCTCCCTGTGATCCATATTTAATTAGAATGTATTGTCTCTATACTGGAATTACACATACTTATATACACTGGTGAAAAAAAAAAAAACCCTGTGCTGCAATCATTCTAATAATTATGACATACGAGATCAAAATCATGGAATATTAAAACAACAACTTGGTTTTGGGTGTTGGGTTGGCAGCAACAGGCTTCCTCAGTTCAGACGGACAGGAGTAGTGACCTGCTGGGAAAACTTCAGGGGGCCTGGAACACGCATCAAACATGACCAAGAAGGATTTAGGCTCCAGAGAAGGAGGCAGTGAGGGTGTAGATATGGTTTGTTCATTTAAAAAAGTTGAGTAGGAGTGAGAAAAGACACGGGGTCAGCTGGTTTTCTCATGTTTTAAATACAGCTGCCGAGCACAGAAAGACCTCCAGTGAACGTTCACGACTCTCCTGCAGCCCGACGTCCTTTTGCAGCTCTGCTCGCTTTGTCAGCCCACAGGAATTCCACACAATAACTTCCCATTCACTCAGAAGAATAGGATCGCTTTAACCTTATTAACTCAAATCCGCCTTACACTGAATTCCATAGTTACTGTTTGAGCCCGGAGCACCATGAACCGTGACCATGAAGTGTATCTATGGAGTGTGTCCTCTCCGTCCAAGGCGAAGGCGAAAAACAGCCTTAGTTCATGTCTCAGCGACGGCTCGGCGGGCCATTCGCTGCTGTTTGGCCAAAACACTGATTGCACCAGACTGACAGCTTTTTTAAGTTACATGACATATTTTATTTATTTTGGTCTGTTGACTTGGTAAATGGTGAATGGTCTGCACTTACATAGCAGCTTTTATTCAAAGCGCTTTACAATGTGTTTCGCATTCACCCATTCAACCTTGCGATTGGAGGACAACCCGCTCCACCACCTGAGCCACAGCCGCCCCCTTAACAAGGTCAGTGTACTGCAGGAGACCAGGAACCTTTAGAAGAACTTAGCTGCTCTACCTGTGTTTCCATTAGAGGAAATAGGTCTACGAGTAAACTGAAGTTCTAAGAAAAATGTTCTCCTTAAAAGGTTGTACTTTCTGAAGGTTCAGGAAGTTCTGGAGGAGGCTTGCAGCGCTGAATGCCAACGACTGAGAACAGGCTAAAGAAAGGCAAGCGCTGCGTTTAAAGACCTGCAACTGCAAGTATGGTTTCGCTCAACAGAGTAGGCTACAGAAGTAATCCTGGAAAGCATCTATGAATACAGGACTAAAGCCAGGTGGTGGTGAATCCACAAGGAGAGGGTCTAACTGAAGTTCAGGTCATCAGTGTTTTGTTTTTTATTCACACGCAGCAGAGAAAAACTTTCTTCTATTCATGTGTTCAGTCTGGTGAAAAACTACCTCCAAAGTTCTCGTATGTGCGCGAAACACAAACATAAACCAGACAAGTAGACACACATATGCATGAAAAACCCAGTTACATCCACATGTAGAGCGGTGGAGGAGTTATGAAACAGGTGTTTTCTGTTTGCCTAAAGTTAAATGTTAGGAAGCTAAAGCTAAAGTTTGAGGCATCACTTCTTTGCTGCTCAGCACCAAACCCTTATAAAGCTTTGTTGAAGCTGCACAAAAGCTGTTGTAGCGTTTAAGGTCAAATGCAACAGAAACAGACTGAGTGAATAAATCATGATCTTGATGAAGCATCAACGTCCATCGAAGAGATAAAAAACATCAAATGTGTGTGAAGCAATGAGGAAACTGTTCCCTTCCTCTCGTTATTACATTAACCTAACATCCATCCATCTGTCGTTTTTTTCTGTTTATCCACATCAGGACAGGAAGTCAGCAGGCTCGGCAGGTCATTCCACATGTCACTGCTCCTGGGGAAGCCTAAGCTGCTCCCAGGCCAGATGAGATATGCATTCCCACCGGTGGGTTCTGGTTCTACTCCAGGACCTCCTTCCAGGTGGATGTTCTTGAAAAACTTGAAAGGAAGGCGGCCAGGAGGCGTTCCAATCAGACGCCCAAACCACCTCAGCTGGCTCATGTCAAGAAACAGCGATTCTACGCCAAGCTCCGTACTGAAGTCAGAATTCAGACTTGTAACCACCATCAGAGCTTCTGATTACAGGTGAGGATTGGATCAGCCAGTAATTGAGAGCTTTGCCTGCTGGCTCCCTGACTGGGCTGAACTGTCGTATATCCATCCTGATTTCTGCATTCATGATGGACAGGAGGTCTTTCAGTTGCAGCCTCTTGTTGTGTCTTCTTCTGCAATGGTTTAATTAAAAAGACTTTAAAATCAGTTCCACCGACTGACTCTGTCGCATCAATTGCTAATATGCACATAATGGCAGTGGATGGAAACTGGCTTTAATTCACATTTTTGGTTAGCAGTTGCTCTTCACTTGGACGGCAGATCTGAGTTCACTCAAGCTAAAAAAAAGCTGCACTCTTCGACCTTCAGGGCTTCTCTCTGTTCAGACTGTCCTGGATGTGAAGAGAACACTGTGGCTGTAAAATGGCTGCCGTGATGCCTGTCACATCTCACAATAATCACCAATTGTCCTCTGCACTAAAGGCTATAAGCTGCCATAATTATTTACTGAAGGATTATCGGCCTGTGGACCTGGAATTCCACACATTTCCACATGGTTAATGTGCAACTGTAGATCAGGGGCCTCCCACCTCAGACAAGCCATCAAACCCCAGGGCAGACATGAGCACAACTGCCATCGGCACACATTTCTGTATTAGTCTTGTGAAAGGTCAGCAGCAACTTAAGCCACAGAGAATGATTAGGTAACCCCAAGAAATCCTCAAGAAGAAAAAAACACAAACAAAAACACAAGTAAGGATGTAAGCGTTGGGTCGACACAGACGAGCCAAAACATTCTGACCACTCACAGACAGACGAGTATCTCGTAGCAACGGCGCATGTCGCGGTCAGAGCCATATTAGATGTCACATATACAGTTGGCTCTCGTAATCAACAAACTGGAACTAAAACAAAAGCGTAGGTGTAAAAACTGGAGCCACTTAAATGGGTGGCAGCATCTCCAAACAGGGTGAAGCTTATGAGGTGCTTCCAGTCAGCAGCGGTAAGTATCTACTGACCAGAGGAGGACAAACCGTGAGCTGACCAGGGTGTCAGAGATGTGCTAGAACGAGTCTGATCCAAGTGGATGCAACTCACAACGTCAAACTTAACTAAAAGGATCTGCTGCTAAGGTCTTGGTACCTGACACCACAGAACATCTTCAGAGGTCTTTTTGTGAGTCTGAGCTGTTTTAGTCCGACCTGAAGGATTAGCAGCGTGTCAGGCAGCCGGTCTTAATGTTTTGGTCCATCAGTGTAATGTCTCCTACAGACGTGTGTGGATGAACTGCTGAAGTGTGGATTTGCACTGAAGCCTGGGTGATAAAATCCATTTTCAGTTTCCACTTTGATGATGTTTGTTATCACCTCTGCATACAGGTGACATGTTTTTGCAATTTGGCAAAATGGCAATCAGAATCTTTACACTTACCTGACTAAATTATGCTATCCACCAGTGCCACCAGTATCCACCATAAGCAAACATTGACTTTAGTTGGGGGCTACAAGGTGGAGCGGTGGTTAGCACCGTTGCCTCGCAGCTAGAAGGTTGACGATTCGCGTCCTGGTGAGGACATCCAGGATCTTTCTGCATGGAGTCTCCATGTTCTCCCCGTTCTCCGGCTTCCTCCCGCACAACATAATCATGGAAGAGGTGGTGATAGACACCGTCAGGGAGATGGAATTCCAAATTCCCCAATCATTTACTTTAAAACATTTACAAATAGCCACAACAGCCAATAGGTGTTTTTCAGATGTACTGAAGCAGGTAATTTGGCAGCTAAACTACATTAGAGATATTTTTTTATGAGAGTGTTATAGTTAATGCTGTTTTGAGCTATCATGTGTTCTGAATCTATATTTCTCCACTGAACCTATGATCCTGTTTTTTCTACTGAGCACAGTGCACGTCCTTGAAGATATCATGGCTGGTTAGACCTGGTTTACAGACGAGGAAACAACTGAAACTCTATTCTATCGGTTAGGGTTGTTACTGTGGATACACGCCGTACCAACAGCATCCACACATGATGCTTACCACATTTCAAGAACGTGGACAGAGCATGAATGAGGTCCACGTCATTGGTAACTGGCCAATTATA